ATCCCTTTGTCCAATCTGTAGTCACATTTTCAAAACTCTAAACACAATTAGCACAACATCCGTCTGTTGTGACCATACCATTAACACATACTCCTTGATAAAAAATACAATGATACATTATTAAAATAAAAAATAATTATTCTCATTTTATATACGGAGGTGCAACCGTGTGCGTGATAAAAAAGTGACAGTCGAGCACAAACACAATCAAACAAAACTCAAAAGATGCTCTCTCTAATACAAATGTATGATTCTGTGATGTATGATCGTGGTTTTCATCCCTTATCCCTGTCTAGCCCCAAACTAACCCTCAGAACAATGCCCTCTTGTGGAGAACCCAGTCACTGCGTTGCGATTCTATGCTCGGGCCTTCGAACCGAGCTCTCTCCAACAAACACACACTGCACGCACGCACGCAAGGCCACACGTGAATTTAAACTATACAGGGCAGCACAAATACAAAACACAAGCGGCCAGACACACAAATTATGCAAATAACCTCTTTAATGGTTTTCATCTCTTATCCAAACACTTAACCGTTTGTAATTCGGAAAAACAACATCTCAACTAAACTTACCTCTCACACACACCTGAGCGACACAGACCTACGTCATATACCCCTGGATTAAGATACAATGATAAATCATTCACATTTAAATCATCATCATCAAACTTACATATATACTGTACACAAAGACGTACGTGTTTGTAGCACACAATCACCTAGGCCGCACTGAAAAAAAATCACATACTCCTTGATAAAAATACAGATACATTATTAAAATAAGCAATAATTATTCTCATTTTATATACGGAGGTGCAACCGTGTGCGTGATAAAAAAGTGACACAGTCGAGCACAAACACAATCAAACAAAACTCAATAGATGCTCTCTCTAATACTCTTTTTTTTCTTTGTCCTTTGATTAATAGACATCACAGCAGCTGGTTATTAGGTTATTTGGCTGTTATTTCTTTAAGAGCTGCCGCTGCTGAACGTGACGCGGATCTGACATGCATCATATTTTCTCTCAACTCTTTTGACCTTTTCTGACCCACTTCAGGTCTTAAAGTCTCTATTAATGAGCTGACGAGTTAAATCGGGTGTGTTAGATGAGTGAGACAATGCTGGGCTGCTCCAGGACAGTTTTGAAAACCATTTCAGAGACATGTTCTTAAATGTGACTCATATAAAATATATTACATGCATGCACAGTTTTAAGGCAGCTTCGCCTTTTTGGTAACTTCATGACTTAACTGACCACGACATTGCATGCACGTAATTTATTTCGCGCTTTGATATGAAAGAATACAGACTACAGCGTGCGCCGGCGCCTTTGTGCGTGCAATTGAAGAGCATGAGGAGCATAGCACCGTTTCCGCGCTCGTTTGACTCGCGCCTGGCTCTGAACTGAAGTGGAGCATGCGTCTGAAACGTCTCCCATTCTAAGTCGTTCTGCGACTGAATAAATGCACTTCTTGTCAAGAGAAAAAGTGACAGAAGCAGCAGTTCTGAGTGGGGTGGCCAACCCTAGCCCCGCCCCTGCGTTAATTGC